TTCCAGCATACGAACTGACCTTGACGTCCCACCGCAGCACAGGGCACCAGCAAGCACACACAGCACACACGCCGAGCGCAGCCAAAAAAGCCGCTGCCACAGCACACGCACGCACACACTCGCCAATGAAATATACCACGGATTATAGACACTGGAAACGATTCGGTTCCCTTTCAGCAGTTTCAGGTACTCTTTAACTCTCTTTTCAAAGTTCTTTTCATCTTTCCCTCACGGTACTTGTTCGCTATCTTGAGGGCAGGAAGGCACTTGCGTGTTACTGTGCAAATTGAGGTCTGTATTGATATTTAAGCCTATACCTGCCTGGATTTCTACCTTCTATGTCTTTCATCTGCTAAATCCCTTACCAGGCTCGGCTGCATGTCCCTTCTTCCCTTGACCCATCATCCCAGCTGTGTTATCTTCAGATCCACCGGATCCATGACGTAATCATCATGGTCACCCTATTATGGGTACACTCATCCGGATCCAGGTCGCTTGGATCCACCTCACTATAATTGTACACTCGCCGTGGATCCGAGCTCTCCAATCATCCAACATCATCTTGCAACCGTCTGTGATCTCCATTGTCCCACGAAAGTTCGAGGTCCACTGCATCCATCATCCCTATACCCTGGATCCAGGTCCCTCAAGGCGGGATCCTCCCTCCATGGATCCGAACTCGGAAGTATGGGATCCGGGGTACCTCGCGGTGAATCCTGACTTCTCGTTAGCCGTGGCTACTAGATCCACCTTCGGATGGCACCTACCACCATTCCTTCATAGGATCCACACTCGATCCACTGGTACATGGTATATCCCATATCCACCTAAGTGAATCCAGGTAAGGGTGGATCCGAGATAAGTCTTGGTGGATCTTGTCTTCCCGTACATCGCTCATACCAGATCCACCGTCATTCCATACGGGGTGCCGCTCGTCATGGCTAATCCACCACAGGCAACTTGCATCCGTGCCACCAACCCAAATCCTCTCTAATCACTTGAAATTGTCACTGATTCGGGATAGTGACCCCGCGTCAGGCCCATTCTCTTATTTCTGAGAAAGCACTTCACCACAGTTGCAAGATGATGTTGGATGATTGGAGAGCTCGGATCCACGGCGAGTTAGTGTACAATTACAGTGAGGTGGATCCAAGCGACCTGGATCCGGATGAGTGTACCCATAATAGGGTGACCATGATGATTACGTCATGGATCCGGTGGATCTGAAGATAACACAGCTGGGATGATGGGTCAAGGGAAGAAGGGACATGCAGCCGAGCCTGGTAAGGGATTTAGCAGATGAAAGACATAGAAGGTAGAAATCCAGGCAGGTATAGGCTTAAGTATCAATACAGTCCTCAATTTGCATAGTAACACACAAGTGCCTTCCCGCCCTCAAGAACCGGAGCTACATTGGCCGTACGAGCTCCGTGAAGGTTGGGAATTGCGAATTTAGTGTTGGTAGTGATAACTGGATAATACGTTGGCCAGATCCTACAACCTAGTGAGCTTTTTCTTTACTTGTGCAGATCCGACAGGTTAACCGAATTTACTACTTGGTCGGTTACACCCTAGAGGTTCTCAACTCTCAAGATCCCGTCACAGGAGGCGGCAAGTACAACGCCAAGGAACGCAAAGGCAAGGGACACACCCGCAAGGCAACCCTCCGGCCAGATCCACGATCTAGGCCCCGGATCCATAAGCTCAAATATTCGCTTAGGATTCGGAACCATCCACGGACGCAGAGTGAAGATTTTCCACTGCTGCTCCACCCCATCCCCACGTCTCGCCAAGACACTCAAGCTTCACCACTTGAGCTCTTCGGAAGTTACCGAGAGAGCAAGATCCCGCCCTACCGACGGGTACACAAGGTGAGGAAAGTTCAGCAGAACACGGATCATCGGGGGACCCCCTCCGTTAGTCGGTGTCTGGGTGCAGTTGGTAAGCTGGATCCGGCAATCTCGCAGATTTTGCTGATCCCGCTACACCACAATGGTGCGCGTGTTCGGATCTTTTGGTGACTCGGGATTGCACCGTGAGTCCCAAGAAGATGCTCAAGTGAAGATTGAGCCAGGGGAAGAGGCGTCGTCGGAAGTCGGATCGACGAAGACGCTGCTGAATGAAACCAGATCCGCGAATCGATGGAGTTTTGGGAGGAACTCTGTCGACGGAAGAGAGGTGGATCCGGATCCGGATCTAGTAGAAAAACCTCTCTATCCTCCCCAGGTCCCCTCGGGGACCCCTGCGGATCTTGACGCAAGTCAAGATTCGCTAACAAAACAAGGAAAAGTGAAGGCGAAACGGTATGCATTTGCAGATTCACCGGTTAAGCCAACACTGTACCTAAACCCAACCCCGCTAGTCGAAGAAACGAGAAAGAAGACGAAAACGAGTGAGACTACGCGGAAGAAGATGCAAGCTCCAGAGTCGGAAGAAGACCAAGCTGGATCCAGTTCAGGCTGGTCAGACAAGGATCTCGAGTTTTTGTATCGCCACCAAGCTTTACGCGACTTCCTGCATCAAGATCATGTCATGCAGATCCTGAATCCACGAGAGATCGAAGATCCAAGGGAACCGGTGAGAGCACCAACGAAAACGGCGAACAAGTTGGTGGCAGTCAAGGATCTATTACGTTTGCTTACGGAGTCAGGCATCGTAGCTGGTGTGTTCGACGCAGAGGATATTTTCGAGCTAGACCTGGATCTCATAGTATCCGCGACGCGGGACCTCTTTGCCAGAGTTAAGTCCATCACCGGAGAAAGGTCGCGCACTATGGATCCGGGTCGTCGCCGAGGGTCAGCCAAGCTGCGTCCTCGAACTACAAATCCGCCGCTGAGGATGAGTCAGACACGTCGTCGGAACCACGACGCATGACTTTAGGAGCCTCCGGGGCATCCATGCTGGAGGCACGGGCGAGGATCCGAGGATAGGAAGCCCCTGTGAACGTGAAGGCTCGGGAAGCCCCTGTGAACGTGAAGGCTCGGGATCCAGTAGCCCTACGCGTGATCTGACACAATCCAGCCAGGATCGAGCCAGATCCGGCAAGAAGCCAGTGGGACTATCGTCAGATCGGGCTCAAGGTAATCGCCTCACGGATCCGGTCTCGCCAGTGGGCCAGACGGCCACAGGCTATTCCGACACTTCCTCGGGCACCCTGCAGCGACACTTCGAAGCTGCGATGAGTCGTTTCCTGGTCGAACAGGGTATGAGAGCGCCCGTGCCACAAGTGCAAGTGCTCCACGAACATGGAGCACGAGACGTGGAGATGGAGTCCGTGGAGGGAGACAACTCCCATGATGAGTTCGACCCAGATGATCTGGATGGCCCATCCACTTCGTCAGCCGTGGTAGCAGCAGCCACAGCCGGGGCAGGTGAATCGTCCATGATCCAGAGGGTACGGATCTCAGCCATATCGGATCTGAAGGAGTTCACGGGCAAGGATCAAGATGAGGACCGAGCGAGAACATGGATCAGCAAAGTCAAGTCGGCCCTCATGAGAGATCAAGCGTCGGATGCTGAGAAGTGTCTGACCTTTGCGGATCTGCTAGCGGGGCCAGCCAGGAACTGGTATCGGCAGTTGGGCAGATCCACCAGGAACAAGTGGCCAGATGTGCTGCGAAGTTTCCAGACCCAGTACGGTGGATTGGGAGTGTCGGTGGCACGACAATACTACGATGCTCGCCGCAGATCGGATGAATCCCCGCTAGAGTACCTACA